GACCAACGGGAGCACAGGTGATACACAGGTGACAGGTGATCGTCCCTAGGATAGTCCATGTTCGACTTTCTTGCAATCTTGGCATGATGATATTCGATGTAGTTTGTCTTCGAGCCTCGACAAGATTGAAATACTTTATTAGGCCAACGTTTCGGCGTCTTCGCCTTCGTCAGAGCCTGAAATGGACAAAAAACACATGAGACCTGCCCGCTCAAACGCCTCAACAATTCCCAAGACAATTTCACTAAACTAGTAAAACGACCCAACGGTATCGATCGATAGTGTTGTGGCTCACCTTGATCTAGACGCCGCAGTGCGGGCTCGACCACCCTGAGGTTGACTTGAATGTGGATTAATCATTACCAGTTACACCCTCCGACCTCATAATAGATCAAAACTTACAGTGGTCGAGGAAACTCGCTTTTAAGATATGACGATTTGGGGCCCACCTTCCAAGATTTAAGATTTGTGAGAAGACAGGCCGCTTTGACTAAGTCTATCCTCTGCCTGCGTACACTGCTGTGTTTGGTTGAGATGTGTTGTTATAGCGGTTATACAACTAGTAAGTAGGCGAGAGAGCGTAGGCAAAAGCAATAAAAGGTAGCCATTCAACCGATGAACTTTAGGCAGGCCGTCAACCTTTGCCCTCGAGCTATTCGATGTAATCGTCAGCGTTCACTTTCACTCGGGCCCACGAAAAAAAATATAGGTCTCCCCATTCCAGGAACTTCCGGTCCATACCATCAACCCGCGCCTTGGCGACTGTGGTGAAGATGATATCCTGGACCGTAGCGACGTTGTCGGAGCTGCTCGATGTTGGAGGTCTTCCAGATCAAGTGTGCCGGTCCCAGGTAGCTGTCCATGGGTGCTCGACACAAGAAGTTCCGCAGCTGTTTGGAAGGTGACTCGAATTCCATAGCCTTCTCCAGTCCGGCTGCGATTGGGGATGGCTTCATTTCTTGGCACATGCTCCTACTTATTGTAGTACAACTTGGTTATCTTCCGCCTTGGTACTCGTTTACATGTCTTCTGTCTGGGCTGCGTGTACTTACTGATTCGTGACTCGGTCAAAGTGTCTACTTTCGCCTCTCCTTGTATATTGGTGGACAAGTGTCCTGGCACAATTACCCCTGGAAAACCTGCTTCGACGTCAAACAGCCGAGTTAAACGGTCAACGAGCGCTGCTTTAAAAAGCAGGGGCTGGGAGAGAAGCGAACTACGCGGAACAAGAAGGATCACACCCAACTTACAAGCTAGCAGGAAGGACTGAGTACGCGGTATTTTTGACGGTTCCAATCTTGAATGCTGAAGCTTATTTTGACACCGCCTGTTTCTCAAAGAAAATACCGAATCACTTGAGCGAGCTCGCGGATGCCAGCCCATCCTTCAGTCGTTTGTACTGTATGAGAGTTGTTGTTGTTGTTGTTTGATGTGCACGTCGAAAAATTGATAAACATGCATGGGGTGAGCAATGAAGAACTCGTGAATAACGATGTTCAAGACAAGGACCGCGACCAGGTATAGAAGTTGAAAATATGGCGTCGGGAGGTGTGCGGTCCGTGTCAAACAACCTTGTACCCGGTTTCGCGGCAAATACTGTAGCGGTTAAGGAAGCGGCGCTATCAATAAAGCTTCAGTGACGCCTCCATTATTCCACTCCTGCAGACTCCACCTTCAAGAACCCTTCCCCTCCTCAGTGAAAAGCGAAGCTGATGGAAGAAAAAGCATGAAAATAGTCCTTTGTACGGTCGTAGTTCTTATCCGGATCAATTGCACGGATGGGGATGCTGTGTTTGGAAATGGAGTTACGTGGGGCGCGTACCAACTGGGACCGGAATGGGGTTTTTTCTAGGCTATTGGCATGTTTTTCCGCTTTTTTCTTCACTATCGAGCGACGCAGCATCTTATTGCCTACATGCCTACCCCTAAGCCACTAACTGTGATGGAGAATGATCGCGCGCTTTGCTTTTAACGATGGAACATGCAAGAAGCTCGTCAACAAGTGATACAACTGAAACTGACGTATGAGCCGGAAAAGTAAAAGCTGAGAGATAGCAAGTTTCCAAAAAAATTCAGAAACAATACTTGATTCCATTCCTTCCTCCTTCCACCTATGAACTTGCCAACTTTTGAGACTTCGCTGCTGTCACCTGGAATGGACTCAACTATTCTGATCGTCCTCGACAGTTCATCATCTGTTGGCGATACGGCCTATGTGCAGGTATTTGTTGCAGTGATCATTGATAATGTCTAAAAACTTTAAATGGGACTTGAAAATTCTATACATAAAAACATCTTTTGCGGGAAAACTAGAAGCACAATTCGCTATGGTAAGATACAGGTGGTGGGGTCAAGTTATGAGAAACAGAGCTCTATTCGCGAGATATTCCAGTGGAGAAGGAGAGAGCAAAGAAAATATAAATAAAAAAGGAGAAGACTACTAATAAGTCTCCTATTTTTTTAACGAGTGCACCAGCTTTCGGGAAATCCCTAAAATTTGTTGCTTGCTTCGGGCAGGCCGATTCACCCACCGTTTCTGTGCATTCTATTAGGTCGTTGCAAAAGAAATGCAGGATTTCGTTTTTTGTATTTAATACTTATTTTATTCCAATAAAATGTAAGTGTTATATATCATTCGAAAGCTTATCTAATGCTCTTTCTAAATGATACTTCAAGATTGGTTGTAATTCTTTTTAGAGGCCACAAAATCGTTGAAGGCGTTTTTGACATCGTCTTGGTTTTTGAAGCCTTTCTCTCTAAGATAGTTGTCCAGATGCTTGAAAAAGTGGTGATCGGTGGGCGACAGGTCTGGTGAGTATGGTGGATGAGGCAGAGTTTCATAGCCCAATCCGTTTATTTTCTGGAGGGTAAATTGTGCAAAGTGTGGTCGGGCATTGTCGTGGAGAAGAGTCCGGAATCGTGGAGTCCCTTCATATTGACCAACCTTGGGCACATGCGTTAAGGCTTCTGATGCATTTCGTCGATTTGTTGACAGTACTTCTCTGCCGTAATTGTTTCACCAGGATTCAGGAAGCTGTGATGGATGAGACCGGCGGCAGACCACAAACATGAGGTTCATCTTCAAGGCTGGTGTTGCCACAGCGAAACTTCTGGAACCAACGTTGGACCGTAGATTCGTTGATACTTCCTTGACCCCAAACTTCGTTGATGTTCCGAGCTGTATCGGCAGCGTTTCGTCCTAGCTTGAACTCATAGAAGAAAATAGTGCGAAATTCACGTTTCGACATCTGCAATAAAATGTCAATAAAAATTATAATAAAATGAATTACAACCAATCTTGGAGTATCATTTAGAAAGAGCATGAGATGAGCTTCCGAATAGTATATAACACTTCATATTAAAGTAACATATCCTTACATTCTATAAAGCAGAAACTTTGTGTGTCGGTTTGTCGGTATGTATGTATGTCGGTTTGTATGTCTGTCCGTCCGCAAAATGCTTTACGGGATTAAACACGTTAGTGAAAGAAGAAAACGACCGCTAGCCAAACCGGGAACCCATCGGTGCAGATGTATCAATCCAATGTTTTGATTGTGATAACAAGCATATACTTATTTGAGTTGAAAGCGCAACTCTCGGTACTACTCTCGAGCCATTCGCAGCCGAGCTAGTCTTCCTGGCAGCTGGGACTTGTGCTTCGGGTGCCGGAAGCTGCGAGAGAAATGGGCGCCTTGCGCGATCCAGCCGTTTTCACTATGGCCTAGCCTCTCCCTCCTCCCGCTCCCATGTCGCTCCAGTGACCTGTGCCCGCTAGCCTGTAGCAATGTATACCGTCGCGCAGGGAATGCATAGAGGAAGGGAGCCTCAGCTCCGGATGAGCCATGCAGAGTCGCGGGGAGAGGGAAGGAGGGGGGAATGGGCGAGGCAGGTGTAACCGGCACCGCCACCTACACTTGCCACTGCAGCGGAACAGCTACACGCAACGGCCCCACCTGCGCAGCGCCCGCGTGTTCAGTAGAAACGCACACCAATGGCTGACGGAACAACGTTAACAGAACTGTAAGCCAATCTATGTTACCGTAACGAACTAAGAAGTTGTTTTGGTTGTGATAACACTCTCCACTATATAAGAAAACCACTACACTCCGAGCCATTGCACGGGTTGCTCCTCGCGTGGCAGTTGGACGTAAGCGCGTGCAAGGGGCAAGCGGAGGAGGGGGTGGGGGGGGGGGGGGGGGGGGGGAGCGGCGAGTACGGAATGGGGTGAAGAGAGGAAGGTGGGAGTTAGTAGAGTGACCCTCCTCTCCCATCCTCACTTCCTCGTACTCCGATCGGATCTGAGCCCATGCAGGGAAAAGGAGGCATATGGATTGAATCGGGCAAACTGGGTACAGTAAGGGGATGCGTAGCGCACGCTTGGATAGGAGCAGGCGGCAAGACAGAAGGAAAGAACCCCTAGCAAAACTGCAAGCTAATCCATGTTACAGCAACGAACTAGGAAGCTGTTTGGATTGTGAATAGCTCCCCTATCTAAGCCAACCACTGTGATAGACTCTGTGCTATTGCAGAGCGCTCGCTTGAGAGCTGGACGTGAGCACGAGCAGAGGGTGATAAAACAGTGGTGGCCCCGTAGGTCCCTATGTATGCCACAGCTGGCTCACGTGGCGCTACATCCACGTGGCGGAGTGGCGCAGTTAAATAGGTCACTGGGATATAATTGTGTGGTGAGGGGGATACCAGATGAGAACGGCGATTTCGCGATTAGGAGCACATAGCGCCTGCGGCGGTAAGGCGTCTACGGTTGCGATAAGATGGGAAGAAAATGGATCGACCGCAATCGGAACTGAACCGATTAATGTTGCATTATCAAATTGTGGTAGCGTTTTGATAGTCATAACACCCTCCACAACATAACACAACCATTTAGTGCACTCAGAACCATTGCACGGGTTCGCGTAGCAGCTGAGCGTGACCTGTAGGTGGCTGAGCGGGGAATAGCTGAAGTTAGTTTGGAGATAGGTGAGAGTTAGAAGGGAGGGGTACCATATTGGCGCGACCGACGCTCGCCTGAACAGGAGCACGCAGCGACTGCGGAGACCGAAGCATCCATGGCTGTCATGAGATGGGGAGGAGAGTAATCGATTATCCATGACCAGATTTTGAACTTTTCATTATGAAAGTGCCCTGCGATCATATGGCGCGTTTCTACATTCATTTTGATTAGAAGACAGCGATTAGTCACGACTCTAAAGCAGTTGCATGAGCCCGGCGAAGCCGGGCTTCCAAGAAGGAGGAGAGCTCGGCGTTAGCCGGGCGATCCGACTGGTTTGCGAATAAAAATAAGTATGAAATACAAGCAAGCAAAATCCTGCATTTCTTTTGCAACGACCTAATACCTGATCCCTCGAAGAATCCATGAACAATCCTTTTTATTTTATGTTATGCTGGTTCCTCGCGCATTTGGAGCATAAGAGCGGAGCCTCTGACTTCAGGTTGGGTTCTCACGCGAGCCAAAAGCCCCGGCTTTGCTGTCAGGCATAAACCGGAGGGTGACGGTGGCTCGATAAACGGCCAGGTACATGGTCAACTCAGCCAGAGTGCCAAGTCAAAATCCATCGCTACCTGCTGCATCGCACATCAACGGCCTTTGCACACCGTGGAGCAGAAATGGTCACTTCTGACCCCGTTTCTGGCGGTCTAGGGCGGGGATTGCCTTGAGAACTCAATACGGTAGTCTATCGCTGAGCAGGAATTGTCACTCAAAGTCCTATCTCGCGAGCGGAACCGGTCGCCCAAATCTCCGCTCCTCAAGGAATAGAGGTCAACACTTCAAAAAAAAGAAACAGAGAAGACCCTTTACCTGGCGGTCAACTAGCCTTTTTTTACACAATCCAAGCGCGCCTGTGTCCAAAGCCTAGTCAACCCTTTCTAGATCTGCGACCGCGCGCCAGCTTAGACCAATAGAGAGACAGAGAGAGGGAGAGAGAGATGGAGAAAGAGAAAGAGAGAGAGTTAGTGAATGAATGAATGAATGAATGAATGAATGAATGAGTGAGTGAGTGAGTGAGTGAGTGAGTGAGTGAGTGAGTGAGTGAGTGAGTGAGTGAGAGTGAGAGAGAGAGGTAGAGAGAGAGAGAGCGCCATGAGGAGGATGCTGACGAAGGAGCTCCCATTCAAATGCTAGATTGAAAGCAAGAAAGTATACATAAGCGACCATTAGCAAATCAGTTTAGTGCTGAGGTGTGATGCGCAACAGCCTAGCAAGACTACATCATACCAGTCGTTTGAACTCCACTAAGAATGAAAAAATAAAGGAAAGAAAAAAACGTTTTCCCTTACAGACATCAATTGAAACATTAACTTAACTGACCAGTTAGTGCTCTTAATCACAGCGCTGGACAAATTGTTATTCGGAAACGAGTTCGGTATAAACTGCATATAGTCTAGTGACCAATCTGGTTTTTTTCCAGCTGAAAAAGATCGTGCTGCAGTTTTTCGAAGTCATCAGAGATGCAAGAGTGGGACTCATCTCTATCACATGTCCGCCAAAGCTTGCCGTTCCGATAGGCACTCACACATTTGAAGAGTTCCAGTAATTCTTCCAGAATCTTTGCAGTTCACTGCACTGTTGTTGAAATAAAGCTAACAGCAACAGTGGTTGTAGAATTCCGTATAGAGTTAGTAAATATAGTGTATTAGCAAGCCCTGTGTTCAGCGCACACGTTAACGTTTTCATGTAATGATTGAAGCTTGGCTTATCATCGGCTAAAATACTTATTTACTGCTCTGATCATGTTCAGGTTTTCGATGCTTTTATTAATTTTTCACTCTTAGGAATCTTGTCAGAGAAATGATGTACGGCGGGAAAACTGAGATGTACGACGCTCTCGACATGGCCAGAACCCTACTAGATGTAAGTAACATAAGAAATTAACTTATCAAAGAGTTGACAAGGGAGGTTGTTCAGGGTATGGAGGGCTTTTTGAAAAGGGTTTGTTGCATGTTGTAGGAGTCCATTTATTGACAACACAGGTTAGGTTCGCTTTCGCTAAAGCCTATTGGGAGTGCCAAAAAAGGGAATAGCAACAAATTGCTCGGAATAGGCAACTTTAACCATTTCACTCAACTCTGTTTCAGCTGTAAATCTGAGCACATATAGTTTATGAGGTCTTCCTCAACTAAGTATGAAAAACATCACCCCATATATATAATTCGCTTTTAGGTATTAGAAAAACAAATGTAAAATAAACTCAGAATTCAAGTGCCTCCCGTGGCATGCAGTGTGGTGCACTGAAGTGCCTTTAGTGATTTATGCAGCATCCTTTCCCGCGAGTAGTGGCCATTTACGCCCCAAATTACCTTTGCGATATGCTATAACTGCCAGAATTGTGGGGTCGGCGCTCCGTTAAATGCACGAGGCTGCAGCGAGAAAATTTTTTTTTCGAGCTGTTGTGGTTAGTTAATGGCAGCCTGATCATTTGTTATGGCAGTGGCACGCGGACTTCGAGCTCCGTCATAAAGGTCTCTGGTAAAACGAACCGCCCGGAAAATTTGCATTTTTCGACTCTCAACTTCAGTGATTCTTCAAAAACGCCGTGTTAGCTTTGAGTCACTGAACGAGCATCCTGAATCATTCTCCACTTCCACAGTCTAGGCTTTCAACAAAGAACTCTTTACCTCCTGCCCGGAAGGAGGGATTGTTTTTCACTCTGAATGGTGAACGGTGATAGTGCAGATATGCGTGTCCCTCCTTCTTTTGAATTTTATGCTTGTCAGTTATGCGTCTGCGTTCTAGCAAACGAAGAGCTCCGCATAACGAGGTTGGGTAATGACTTCTGGAGGAGTCTGATGGTCTTCAGCTGGAGACATGATCAGTCACAACCAAGAAGCTCGAAAAAAATTTTTTGGCGTACGTCTGTAGGCGTAAAGTTGATGGTCCTGGTGACGGTTCTGACACTTATTTTTGGCGCGAATGGGGCCAGTTCGGAGCTAAATTGGCCCCTCGCGTACGTTGACAAAGATATCAATGGAGAGAGCTTTTGCCCCAAATTGGCGACACGTCATATTCAAAAACGAGTATAGTATTCGTAAAAAGGGCATTGGATAAGCGCCGTTACCCAAGTTTTAGGGAGAGTTTCTTCGATAGTATTTCGCAAGCGTAATAGTTTAGGAAGTTCCCTTTGTTTACATTATCGCATAGAATGTGCCCTTACTTAACACGTTGACGCAATCGCGTTTTGCGGGAAAACGCTGCGTGAGACAATGGCGTGTGTTCGCATGCGTCCGTTGAGCCACCGGTGGCTCATATTGTCCTGGACCACTTTTTTGCCGCTATGTCAAATTTCGCAAAATGATTAGTCAATCGTGCAGGGACTGCTATTTCAACCATCCTTGACCCTACTGGATGCCATCTCATGCCCCGCCCTCTGCGATCACGCCCACTTTTTAGCGCGATCGTGATTCCCAAAATGTGGCACCCTGGCGCCTGATGGCGCCATGACTGAAAGGCAACGATATATTCGTGACAAGATGTCAAATAACCTAGGTATAGAGGTTTCTATCGAATTCTGTGTCAAAAAGATCGCTGGCGCCAAAGTGGCGCCCGCTGGCGCCAGGTGGCGCCAACACTGGAAGGCAACGATATATTCGTGACAAGGATGTCAAATAACCTAGCTATGGAGGTTTCTATCGCATTCGGTGCCAAAAAAAGGTGCTAGCGCTGAAATGGCGCCTACTGGCGCCATATGGCGCCGAAGACAAATAAGATCTGGCCCCATGTGCCGCCAATGATAACAAGATCTCACGTCAAAGCCCCGCGCAGTCCCTGCAGCCAAGGTTCCGTCCAAAAAGAACTGTTTTGGAGGTTTCTGCCGCAGCAGTAGCTAGTTGAAAATTTTCAATTTTCAATTCAAAATATCTCAAGCAGGCAGTAGCATTTTCGTTGCTCATCCCTGTTGGAACATTCACTTTCACAGAGATTTCGAAAGCAAGGATCGATTGAGACTGCCGGCAATAACCCGAAAAGTGATGGAGAAAGTTATGAGCCACCGGTGGCTCAAATTGTCCCACGTGGCCACTCACTTATGAGCCACCGGTGGCTCAGAATGTCATCAACGTGTTAAATGGCGTATATCCGGGTTATACTATCCTGGTTATACACGTCACCGGGCACACAGGAACACAAGAAGGAAGAATTCTGAAAAATGCGTCTTGAAGATGATCCTAGTCAAACTGCCATGAGTTGAGAGAACGTCGCGCTACCACCACACCATCCGTCCACTGTGAATAGGGAGACGCAGTACCCACTGAAGAGAAATGCGGAGATGGCCAAGAAACTTCGATGTAGCTCTTTACAAGCCTAGTAATGTAGTTGGTTTTTTACCTTATTTTCCGTTGCTCTTCATGCCTATTCAAAGAACACTACATAAATTGTACATACTCAACGCTACAGCTAAAACGGAGCTGAGGCGGTTCAAAATACCCTTTCTTGTCGAATTATTCTCACTCCTTTTTGGCATTCCCAACAGGGTATAGCAAAAATGAACCCCATCCGTGTGGTCCAGGCATGGACCCCTACATCATGCAACGAACCGTTTTTAAAAAGCTCACCACGACCTGAACGACCTTTCTTGTAAGTATTGGCGGATGGAAATTGTGAGCACTCTAAAGAAATGTAGCGCAATCACACATCGTGTGCTTCAGGGTTCAAATATGAATTCGTAAATGCTAAGTGACTTGCCACTGAAAAGGAGTGCAAAACATCCAGACGCCCTAGATAAGGCCCAGTATTGGGCGAGTATTCGAGTAAACGAGGCCCTGCCGCAGAGACCAGAAGATGAACGAACACAAAGTGGAACTGGGAGATTAGCAAGATTACAGGGAGGGGGAGGGGTAAAAAACGACATATTGCCCGAGCAAAGAAAGAAGAAGCAAAGAATGCGCAGCCGAGACAAGACGTGGGTACGAGGCAGGGCGTAAGATACCCAAGATGTTCCTCGATAAGCAGAAGCAGGCCCTCGTCCATCACCTTCATGTACACCAAAATATGAGCCATCTGTAATCGCAGCCGAACTGAAAGGCGCGGCTTGATGGTATTGACCGGAAGTTTCTGGAATGGGAAGACCAATATTTCTTCGTGGACCCCGACTGAAACTGAGCGTTGACGGTACATCGCACATCGAACATTCGAGGAGAATGTCCTTCCCTCATGTCGGCGCCTGTATCGTCTTGGGATGTACGTACTGCTACAGGATTGGGTGCCAGCACATATAGATGGACGCTGGGACCCTCCCTTCTCCCACAACCAGCAGATACGACCCCACCCCTCATAGCTTCCGTGAAACAAGGAGAAGCAACCCTCAAAATCCTTTTGAACCTAATATGAAAACTCCCACCCAATGACCAAATACGACCCCCTCTCCCCCTCCCCCTGTTAGAAAGTCCTCAAGCAATGATGCGCCCTGTGAGCCCAAGTATGTGCATTGTGACGTACAGTAGCAAGTAAGCTATTCACTTGATGCTCATACGGTTTCTCCCAAAATGACGATCATGTCGTAGTTCATACTAATGAATTGAGTAGTGCTGAAGACATTTCCCCGTTTTTCAGCGTGAAACATCGGATTACAAAACTTTGATAATTATAACGGATTCTGGTGAAAGAACTCGCACTCAATGTTTCTCAACAAAATATAGAGAGGATGAGTTCGACGTTGCTGAAGAGGTTGGATTATCTTTGATACTACTACTCTAATATTGAATTGGACCATAAGTAGCAGCGATACTGGGTTGGTCCATCAGTGACGCCGGTTTTCTCTACACAGATTCTTATATGAAAAGTGAGATTTGCTCCCAATCTGTTCTCTTAATTTTTATCAATTTCAAAACCGTTGAAATGGAGTGTGGGGTCTGGAGACGTTAGTTCGAATCGGGACTATGGGCGTGGGATCAGTGAACGCAAAATTTAGAAAAGCGCTGATCTGATGAAACGATCCAAATCTTGTGCCTCCAAGAAACGAGTAGGAAAGGAGCCAAGACCCGCAAAAAGAAAGACCTTCTTTGATGGTGGAGACGCCAAGCGGAACGGAGTGGCCATAGCGGTAGCAGAGCCTCTCAAGGACTGCGTCTCCTCTGTGAACAGGATCAGTGATCGGATCATGGGAGTGAGAATGGACACGAAGGAGGGGTACTGGACAGTACTGCCATGTACGCACCACAATCCGGTTGCTCCAAGGCGGGAATGACGAGTTCTACCTTACCTTGGGCGAAACCATCAGATCTGCTCCAGAAGGTGTCTATCTCACCATAGCAGGGGATCTAAACGGCCACGTCGGTAGTGACAGAAGGGACATAGAAAGGATGCACAGAGGCAGGGGGATAGGAGTGAAAAAACATCACCTGTATCACCTGTGCTCCCGTTGATCATCGAGTTCCTCGAGCGGGCGCCAGTAACGTCTCCATTCGTCCCTGCAACGTGCAAGAGTTGCCCAATGAACTCTCTCAGCTCGAGGGACACGATGAACTTCATACCATTCGTTCAGAGCTTTCACGAAGAAGTCTGACCATCGCGTAGGCGGTCGTCCAGGCGTTCGCTTGACATCCCGTGGAATCCAGTCGGTGACTGCTCTGGTCCAGCGGTCGTCCTCGAAACGCATGACGTGTCCGGCCCACCTGATCTTCGAAACCTTGGCAAATGCGGCGGCGTCTGATCTTCGATCGTTGGCGGAGTGCGGAGCTCCGGATTCCCTCTCTCACTTGCGTGTAGCGGGAAACTCCGAGCATCGCCCTTTCGATGGCGCGTTGAATAACGCCAACCGCATGTTCATCCTGCTTTCGTAGAGCCCAAGTCTCTGAGGCGTAGTCAAGGCAGAAAGGGGAATCGAAGTGGGCACGTAGCTTGGTGTTCCTTGTCTTCTTCGCTACTCCCTCGATGTTCTTGAAGGCTCCCCAAGCCGCTCGCTTCCTCCTGCTCAGCTCTGGAGCTAGGTCATTCATCATATTGATTTCACGACCTAGGTACACAT